AATACTCAAATAGGTCTGGTTGTGAGGGAATTGAATAATGGGAGGATCCATTGGATTCATAGAAAATCGATAATACATGCTGTGAAAAGGTTGATGGCATCAGAAGAAGGGAAAGAGAGAATAAAAAGTAATACTATCATACCAAGTTCGAGTTCCCACCCCTGAACTACTGTAAGATGCAACTTGGCGTGCTACTCTATTCCCCTTGCGAGGAATAAGGCAACAAGAGCCACAGTTCACGTCATGAAAAAAAAGGGGAAGAATATCCAATAAAATAGCTTCGTCTGGAATCCAAAAGGCGAAATTTTGAAACTTACTATTTCAATTATTAAGCATTCGACTAGTCCAATATGTTTATTGCGTATCAGCTGTCAGTTTCCTCCCAAATTATTGTCCACAAAGACACACACGAAGCATACACCCCACTTCACTCAAGAATTGAGGAGAAAAAAAAAACTAAGAAATTTCAAAAAGTTCAAAAATAGAGAATTAGCACTGTAAAGACAGCTCTTTTTAAAGTTTCAATCATTCTCTTGAAATCATTATCAATGCCCATTTGCAAGCTTAAAATCATGGAAAAAAAAAAACTCAAAATGCTGTAGTCATGGTTCCTTTCCCTCCTCTAAATCAGCTTTTGCAACTCTCCTGCTTAATATTCTCTTATGGGGTTGCTATTCGCTATGTTAGCTTTGCCACCCACAATTATTGGATGTGTGGAGCCTATTATATTGTACACTTTTTCTCTCGACAGCGGGAGCCCCCAAGGCGAAATTTTTGAAGTGTTATAAAGGTACTTTGGAAAATTCGCACACATATAAGTTCGTCCGAATATTATCATCATGATACCTAATGATTTTTGTTTTGTGCTTAAAACAAACGTCTAATCTTTAGAATCCAACTATATTCAACATGTTCAAGTTTACAATGTCGTCACAATACTGTCGCATTATTGAAAACCTTCACCGTGCATTGGTTTGCTATTGAGTTTCAAAACAAAGATATAATATTTTCCATTAAATATTTGAAACCACGATCGCTTCGCAAATTCCTTTTTGTTCTAGAATTATGAACTCCGCCATTTTCTCTTGTGCGTTGCTCCTTAGTTTGTTACTCGACACCGATATCAATTATTATAGACAATTTGTTTTTACAGCACAAAAAAGAAGATTATCTCTTAGTGGAACATAAAGAGAAAATTTGACACCTAAAACCAAACAACATTACACGATGAAATAAACAATATTTTAATGTTTTTGTTTAGTAATTNCACAAAAAAGAAGATTATCTCTTACTGGAACATAAAGAGAAAATTTGACACCTAAAACCAAACAACATTACACGATGAAATAAACAATATTTTAATGTTTTTTTTTAGTAATTCTCAGTGGAGCGCACTAAACTTACCAGAAACGTCATACAAATGTTTGTTTATTGCCCAATCAAATTATTGCCCAATCATTTGTCCAAATTATTTTCTATTCCATATTTTCCTTTAACGGTGTCGATGGAGTCACGTCAGATTGAAATAAGGACAAAATGCACTGACTGAAAATCAAAGTATGAGTTCAACAACTCACAATTCAAAATTGTCTGCTGAAGAAAAGTATTATCTTGAACTCCCTACCAATGGCCATCTGCAACAATCATCCAAACCATGAGCTTCCAATAATGGAAGAAAAAGATCAAGTAGCTATAATAATGGTGCCATTTCCTGCTCAAGGCCACCTCAATCAGCTTCTGCAACTCTCCTGCTTAATATCCTCATATAAGATTCCGGTTCACTACATCGGCTCCACCACCCACAACCACCAAGCAAAACTCCGCGTCAACGGATTAAACCCTCAAGATGTAGATAAGATCCGTTTTCATGATCTTCCTACGCCACCATTTGTCTCTCCTCCTCCAAATCCAGACTCGTCAAATAAATTCCCTGCACATATGCAACCAGCGTGGAATGCCTCAACGAACCTGCGCCAATCGGTTTTTGAGTACTTACTAGATATATCCTCTATGGTGAGAAGGATTATCGTTGTTCACGACTCTCTTATGGCCTCTGTAGTTCAGGATATTGCAACAATTCCGAATGCAGAATCCTATGTATTCCACTGCACCTCAACGTTCACGCAGGCCTCTATTGTATGGCAAGGGATTGGTAAACCGTTCCCAGTAGAACTACCAAAAGAGCTTCCCTCTTTTGAAGGATGTTCAACCGATGAACTTATAGAATTTGCACTTTTACAGTTTAAGCATTTGGATATCAGAGCTGGAGATATATACAATACCAGTAGAATTATAGAAGGAACTTACGTTGATCTATTGGCAAGGGAAGAGATTGTTGGGAGCCGGAAGGCTTGGGCAGTCGGACCAATTCTTCCGTTGAAATTATACTCGAATAGCCAGCATAAATGTTTAGAATGGCTTGACAAACAAGATCCAAAATCTGTTATCTACATATCTTTTGGGACGACGGTTTCAATGTCAGATGAAGAAATCAAAGAGCTCGCGATGGGGTTAGAACATAGCAAACAGAATTTTCTATGGGTATTGAGAGATGCGGATAA